TATATTTCCCTGTGCTATACAGTGTAATCTAGTTTATCTATTCTACAAGTTTGAAATCCCAGTCTATCCCTTCCCACCCTCTACCCCCTTGATCTTTTAAAATAAGTATTTACATATCAAGTATAAACTTTAATAGAAGTTGTGTCAAATTTAGCACATATTAACATAGTGCTGGTCAGTAAATATGCCAGTCAGCAATTATGCATTCATTACTACTAAACCCAAATTGTTTACTAACTGACAAATTTATGTTTTCTTTTGAAGAAAGCTAAAATGCTATGAACCTGGTGTTGGTAATATTCATGAGATCTGGCATTCACTATTCTGCTTTAATATTCTACAACACAGTTCTTTAATTGAAGTTGAAAAAATCTCAAGTAGTTCATGTTTTTCTTAGAAATAATGTACCTAATATTTTAAACATTTCATTTCTTAAAATTTGCAACAAAAATGTTTAGGCACTCTTATGAACGCTAGGAAGAAAACAGAAGTATAAAAGGATATGTCTCAATGACTATGGTTTCAAAGCCTTCAAGTGACTAACAGATAATTATGTGAAACTTTTTATTGAACCAATAACATGATATATATTAAAAGCACAATGATGTTGCATTTCTTCATATTAACACTTTGCCAATTCTTCTATGTTTAACCCTTAACAATACAGAATCCCAGATATGTCAGAAGAAAATGGTGCAAACCAAAGATCCTGGATAAAGAATCAGGCTGTTGTTCTTCATGGCCTCTAAAATTGGCCTGAAGAAAAGCTAGCCTAAAAGCAGATAGTATTGATGATACCATTTGAAAACAAAACTTCCAGTCATTCTGCTTTTATTTCTTACTTGAATTTACTAGATGCAAGGATAGACTTGTAAGTTATGGATCTGGGATATGACACATCATCATCCATTATGTGAAATTTCTCTAAAATAGTTTATGGGAGATAAAGATTTTTAACATCTTCACAGGAAATTTGATACAAGCCCAGAATTTCAATGTAGTTCTTTGACCAGGGACATAAGATTAAAAAGATGTTAGGCTGAAGTTTTGATATAAAACCCGACTGTCCTATCATTACTGAAAGCTCTACAATGCTTGGGTCTTCTCAATACAATTATGTTCACCCATAATCTCCAAATTATGGGTGATATTTCTATTAATGAGGAAATAACCTATATAAGAAAGGGTTGAAAATTTGCTTAAGAGATTACAAAAGTGATTTTTTAAAATTCTTATTAAAATTTATTTTTTTCAAGTAATTAAAACTAGGATAGATTTTTTTTAATTAAAAATACCATTCTGAATTTGATTCTCCCAATCTCCAAATACCAAAGCAACAAGGAAATTGTAGTTTTTTCCAAAGCTGAATTTTTTATTGGAATTCATTAAGGGGAAAAAAAGAAGTCAAGGAGAAATTTTTGCTTAGATAATTTAGGAAATGATGTCTTCTGATTATCAATAAGAACTAACCAGTCCTCTTTAAAGAAATGCAACCAAAATGCAAGAGAAAAAATTTGCCTTTAAAATTGAGTACCGTTTTCTTATATATCTAATTCTCACCATCCACCTTCCTTGGATGGTATTATTCCTTCAATTCTATTTTTGCATGGCAGACATTTCTTGGAGGGCAGAACTGCACTAGGTTTTCACTGGCAAAACACAAAGAATGGAAGCTCGAGTCTCTGCTCCTGAGGACTGTAAGACTGGTTTGGTTCATTTAATACACATGCTGAAAACACAGCATGGAGAGAGTGAAAAATGAAAAAGTAACGTGTGTTTACTAGGTATGTGACCTTGGGCAAGTTAACTAACCCTCTTGTTTCCTTAGTAATTAAATGGGTGTAAAATAGACTTGTGAAGATTAAGTGATTTGATATACTTTTTTGGCCCATAAAAAAACCACCAATAAAGGTCAAACAATAATAGTAGTAATAGTGATGCAAAGTAATAATATTCTCTCTCTACTGATAATTGCTGAGAAGTGTGGAGAAACGAATTAGGTGGGCAAGTACTTGAAAAAACATCAAGACCCTTTCAGGTAAGGATTTATTTTAAAAACAATTTGCACGTGGATGTGTTACCGAATTAAACTTGAGTCCCCTCGCTGAACTGGCAACAAAGCCAATCTACAGACAGTGGGTTGTGGTGAAGGAAAGTATAGCATTTATTTCAAGGCACCCAGCATGGGGCCCAGCAAGGAAAATGGGCAGCTCACACTCAAAAGACCTGAATTCCCTGATGGCTCTCGGAGAAGGCTTTTTAAAGACAGTCTGAGAGAGAGGGTTGGAGGGTGCCTGATCAACTGGTGGACATTCTTCCGATTGACTGGTGGTGAGGTAACCGGGTGGTATCTCTGGAGTCAACATCATCAACCTTTGGGTTCCGACCAGTCTCAGGTCTGTGTGCTAGTGGTTGGCAGTTAACGTCTTCTACCTGGTAGGAGTTTTAGAATCTGTGAGACAACTGAAGGATATGACTCAAGATATTATCTATAGCCCTTAAGGGGGAACTAAAGACCCTTGACTTTATTTTATGACTAAACTGTTTAATTACTATTTTATCTTGCTTGACTGTTTTCCTTGGTTTCTGCATTTTCTCATTTCTCTGATTAAATATGCTCTTTGGAATTCAGGAAGGCTTAGGAGGCTAAAGCTTTTCTATGAACAAGAAGCAGGGGACACGGTGGCAGGGGGGCGGGGTGGGTGGTGGTCTGTCACTGGGAAGGCCCAGCAGAGTCCTGCTAGGTTTCAGATCTGACATTCCCCCTAGTCTTTAAAGTATTTGGTAAGATCCAATTCTTTAGGAAGTTCTGAGTACAGAACAAGTGAAGAAAGATGTGGCCTCCGCATTCTGGAACTTCTTGACTTAAATGAGAAGTTACGGGGAAAAGGGGTGAACATGCTAACAAAAGTTCAATAATCATGGAAGAAAAGGACTCTGCCCTTCTCTGGGAGCTCAATCATTTGTTCAAAAAGCAAAAAGTAAATAGTTGAAATTTAGAGATCCCCCAAATGTTTAAAATACAGTAAAAACCAAAAGGCAGTATTTTTGTTGTAGGAAATTATCAGATGATAGTGACAGGTGCTTTCCCATGTGAACACAGAGACAG